CCTGCTGTAAATCCAGACTTCACACGGTGTATGAACAGCCGTGGTCAGAGATCTAAGCGGAAGAGTTAGGGTGGCTCAGTGGATTCTTACAGATAACAAAGCCCTAATAGAGTAACAAATTCTGCGCATTTGAAACCAGAATATCTCCAAAATGAAGTGACTGTTCAAACACGGAGAGTTACAGTAGATCTGCAATGGGACCCCGGAGAGCTTGACACGGCACCATGAAGGTTCAAGTGATGACCTTCCCCTGCTTTGCACTTTTTTGTGTGGGCATCCACACCCAAGCTCTGTGCGCACATGACAATGGTAGCACGTTACATGCACTTGGGAATGATTTTGCAAAAGATGGCACGAAACAGCGGAGAATCAATTCCGTATAAAGGATGGAGCTTGGACATGCGTGTGATTTCTAGTGACAAAAATGTATTCGATTTTTTTTAATCCAATGCCAGAGGATTTTCCCATGCCCAGAGGCTATGTGCTGGGTTCCCTGCTCTCCACACTGGAGCAAGGATATTCCTAGCGTGAAAGGAAATGTGGGCTTGTGGTTTCCTTGAAGAAAATCCCTAGCAGGGAAAGGACCAAAAGGGGACAACAAGGGAAAGCAGCACAGACAACACAAGAAAAATTGAGTTAAAATTTAAAAACTTTGACAATAGATCTGGTGTTTAAAAAGGTTAAGTGCTAGATCAAGGGCAGGCAATTATTTTGAGCAGAGGGCTGCTTACTGAGTCTTGGCAAGACATTGAGGGCCGCATGACAGGCAGCCCAGGGGAGATAAAAATTAATTTTCTAAATTGTTTAAGGGCCCTGCGGGCCAGATAGAATGGCCTGGTGGGCCACTTCCGGCCCCTGGGCTGCATTTTGCCCACCCCTGTGCTAGATCTGATAACCCCTACTCACATGGACGACCATTTATGTCCATATATTCACATTTAAACGAATAGGACTACTTGTTCGCACAGGACTACTTGTTCGCGAGTAAAGCACTCTTCTGGTGAGAACGAACTCCAGCAACTGGCCCCGTCTGTCAAAGCAGCCGCTCTAACGATGAGCCACGGTGAAGAAACACATTTAGCGATACCCAAACTTCAAGAATAAACTCAACAAAGTCCTCCTTTCAGTCCGTAGCCTTTTCTATGCCTTTTTGGCAGGCGAAACATAGGCATAGCTTTGTGACTAGCGCTAATACTGAAGTAGTAAAATAGTGTTCAAAAATAGGAAAACCAGACCCATTTGCTGATGAAGAATGATTTAATTAAAGTTTCCACTGTTCAAAAGCAGGTATGTTTCACATCATAAAGAATCGCTGTCATGAGAATGATTTGTTTTAGGGGAGGAGAAATATTTTTTTCCGGCAAACTGTTGACTTCATTGGTAGGCAATTAAATATTTCGCTTGTTAACTGGATTACTGTTCACAATTAATTACTCACTAACGTGGAAAAAGCTGTATTCTTGCTGGGCCTTCAGAGTTTCACATAGTCTGGACGTAATGCCAAGAAGAATACCCACTACATTCACATTTTTCGTTACCTGAGAAGAGTTAAGTTTTCCCCATTCCAGTTAGTATCAAACAAAAGCAGGCTTTAGTCCAGAAACAAAAGCTGACACTGTAAAACGTTACCATCTCACCCTGTGCTTTAAGACAGTGACAAATTATTTTTACATATGTTTGCAGAATGCAAATGATATTTGACCTTTCCAGAAACCATTCGCATGGTTTTTTTAAACTCTAAACCTCCTGTGGAAAATGTAGAAAATGCAAATCTACAATATACTGAGGTTTTGGGCAATGTCACAGACACCTTTGTACAAAACCTGGACCCCAGGCCTGCATACCTAAAACTCACATGTGTCAGCTGTAGACTCTGGGAAATAGTTCTTCTAAACGCAAAGGTCCTCTTGTTAGCGTAAGAGTTTGAAGGACAAGCACCTAACTTCAGCTGATTCCCTTCAGCATGCAAACGACGACCGTCCTTCTGCCATGGCTTCAATGCTAGAGACATAATGCGAGGGAACTGAAAGATGAAAAATAATAAAAGCAAAATTTTCAAAATGACATACAGAGAAATGTGCACTCAGGGGAAAAGCTGCCTCCAAAAAATGAATGGACTCATAATGATTCTATTAGCGGTTCATGCATAAAATCACCACCAAAGTCAATGGTAGCGTTGCATACCAAAGGCTTGCAGGGGTCTTTTCCACAGTGCACTGTTCTAATATTTTGAAGGTCTACTAATCTGACCAACGTTGGTGCAATTTCAGCTACAACAAAAAGCAATAAAAATCATAGACTCGGATATTTGAGCTGGAAGGGTCTAGTAATGACTTGTCTAATCTAAAACATTCCATCCTGCTGCAACAATTATCCTGAAGAATCATCTTTTTTTTTTTTTTAAGAAGTCAGCAGCCATCACAACCTTAAATAACTAAAAATATTGTCTACATTTCATTTGGGATTGAAGTTATTTGGTTAGGACCCTCTAAGACCTGTATAAAAATACCAATTGTAATGAGCTGTGCATGCTTTTATTAAAGAGGGTCAGGTGAGACTGAAACAGAGGGCTAAAATAATACCATGACAACTCAAAATAATGCCCGGTCAGCTCAGTACAGACTGGCTGTGCCCCCTTGCTAACTTACACCGCTTGTTTGTATAACGCTGAGCGCAAAAGAACTGCTGAATGCATTTCCCGACTGCATGATAAAATAAAGGGTTTTACTTAGATAATACAAAACCCATGGATGTGACTGTGCAAACATTTCCTAAATTCATAAATACCAGAAAAAATCACTTTTGAACAGGTCAAGAATGAAAAATGTCATCCCCTGGAAAGCAAATGTACCAAAAATTAAACACCTGATTTAGAATGGTAAAGGCCTGTCAACCAGATGTTCCCACTGTGTGGATAGGCATAAAACTAAAGATAAATAGAGCGCTGAACTATTCCCACAAAAATAACTAGCAAAACTCACATGGCTGTCAACGGGAGAACAAAGGAGCCCCGTGCGACAAGACTTCTGATGCCATATTTGTTCTGATCCTGTTAACTCTGTATACAAGTCAAGCTCCCATTTCAAGCTTCAATTTTAGGAAAAACAGCTGGTTCCCTGAATATGAGGATATTCTAAACCAGGGGTCTGCAACCTAGGAACCATGGCCTTATCTGGCCTGCGAAGTAGCAAGGAGGGGATCAGTGGCAGCTTGGCCTGCCCTGTCCCCTTTCCCTGCCCTGCACCATGTCACTGACCCCCTCCAGAGCATCCACCTCTGCACCCATCCTTGCTGCTCTCTCTTGCCTCCTACACCAGATGCTGCTTATAGCTGGAGTCAAATTCGCCCCTCCCCGCTCCCACTGGGGATAGGTGTTGGGGACAGGAATGCATTGGGGTGCATGGCGGAAGCGGTGGCACATGGCAGGGGTGGCAGCAGGGGAATGGGGTCTATGGAAGGGAGAACTGTTGAAGCAATCAGTGGCCTGTAGCAGCAAGGGCATCAGTAGTCCATGATTATAACTACTTTAAACGGTTGCCAACCCCTATTCTAAACTCACATATTCAGCGTTTCTGAGAGAATCCACCAAAAACGGGGGGAAAAAAAGCCATGATTACAGCCTAATTGTCAGGGGCCTAAAAAGTCAACCCTCTGCATAAGCCAAGTATGATTCCTAGCATTCTTTTTGAGGAAAATAAGGCTGACTTATAATCCTAAAAATACAGTATATCCAGTGTACAGAATTGTGCCGAAGTTTGTTCTCAAATAGAGATGCATTTTCAACTGATATCAATGGAAACTGCAGGCCAGTCGTTTCAAGCAGAGTTTTGAGCAGTCGAGGCTGGATCACTGGGATCTGGCATGAGTTGAAAGTTTCCCCAATTGTGGCCAGCAGCACACTTGTCGTGGCCAGGCAGAGAACTGGGTGGTCGCGTGGTGTGTTTACCTACTTGTTCCTCTCTGCTGCATTTATATTAGCAGGATATAAAAATGTTTCACATCTATCAGAGTCAAATCAATGCTTCCTATTAGCTTCAACTGATGTCAGAGCAGGAGTAAACACACTCTAAAGTTTCATCACGTCTCTTTTGTCTATCATGGCCAGGGATGTACAATCAAACCAACGGGGTATGTAGCCACGAGCCATTGGGGGCTAAAAGTAAGGGTTGCCAAAAGTGATGCAATGAGGAAAATCCCACTGGGACACAAGGTCAGGACCTAAACAACCCAAGTAAAAGTCCCCAAACACTTACAAATGGAAAGAAAACAGCAGCAGAAAATGAAAACAAGGAGTGTGTTTTGCCCACCTGGAGGCAGATTCTGACACAAGCAGTAGTGACTGTTTGCAGTCATTGAAAAGAGTGTGCTGGAGTCTTCCTTTCGCTGGAGTTTTAAAGAGATAAATGCAACAGGGAGAATAAGTCTGGTAAATTAAAGTCACTTAAAATACTGCTCAACATCAGTCATGTATGTTAGGGCGGCTTCCATTGTTTTTGATGGGAGAGACTCAGGGCTGAGATGCGTTGCAAATCTGGTTCAAATTGTGCACTACAGCAAGTTAGTCTCCAATATAAACTTTGTAAATTATTTTTTTACCTTCCCTTGGCAATCTAAAGTATACAGTCTCCATCTTTCACTCCCCAAACACCCTGGGCAGGTGTTGTCCACCACCATAATGCAAAACCATTTGACCTGATAATTTACCCCGCTTTTCAAAATGAAATGAGTTTGAACTGGAATTTAGCTTCTTTAATTCTTCAGCTCAGCAAAATATTGCTAATATTCATACCAAACATAAGAAACAGTGAAGTGTGTTCACCTTGCCTTATTCTTCCACTTCTAAAATAGCATTCAGAAACTACTGAAGTAATAATCTTGAAGTCAAAATCACTTTCCGGGCTGGGGTGCTATATCGAATTGTTCTGAGAAATGTTTTGAAGTGGCCTGGATAAATTACACAAGCTTCAACATTTAAAGATCAAATCAAAATGTAAATTTTAATGTTCTCATTTAATGCACCTTGTTTTACTTATACACAAACAATTATGCAAACATTAACAACTGATTTACTTAACACAAAAACATTTTCTTAAGTCAATATAGCAAGAGAAATGCTTTTTTTTCCAGTAGTATTCGAATATTATTGTCCTCATACGACAGTGTGTTCTACTGAGGTTGCTTATGATCAACACTGGTGTTCTGCTCCAGTTACAGCACATCCACTAATTTCTTCTATAGCTCAAAAGAAATTTCTAATTTATGTATGTTGGACTGCTGGCCCATGCGCCTTAAAAATCAACTTTGGTATTCAGCTTTGATTATTTGGGGTTATACAGCCTGGAACAGATGTGCACGGTGCCCAGGGTGCTCCAATTTTGCAACACATTCACAATTTAAAGAGAGGGTGCCTCTTCAAGACAGCTGGGCCCAGTGCTGAGGGGACACTAGATGTCTATCAAGAACAAAAAGAGACCCCCTCTTTCCAATTTTCCTCCAAGCCCTCATAGACAAATGTCCTAAACCAAGTACTTCTCTTACATCTAAGTCCCTGAACTCCAGTGTCTCAACAAAGTTGCGCACATCTGTCAGCAAATGTCCCTTCCCCTGATTTTCCTGTTCTAAGTCCCATGGCTGAACTGCTCCACAACACCGAGAACAAGCTTGTCTTTGTAAGAGACCTTCAAACGATGGAGAATTTGAATGCTGCCTGGACCGTGCAAGGACAAGACTGGGCCTACTGTACTCAGGTCCACCACGAGACATCAAATAGCAAGAGAAAGCTCAGGGAAGAACTCCAACTTTGAGAGCTGCAATTCTCCACTGCTCTCCTCTTGTCCTAGGAGGCACTAATTTGCTGCAACACGAAAAAAGCTCTGCTGGTTGGTGTGCTGGTGAGACACACCGGGTAGAACAATGGCAGCTGTAATGGAGCCGGAGCAGTGATGCTAGTAGTCCTAATGCGACTATAAAATAGGTGAATTCCCCTCTTCTAATCTAGCCCACAATTAACTAATGATCTTCCCTGTCAGGAAGAGTGTGATGGGTGCTACCCAGCTGTTCCCTGGAGCATTTAATGTTTGGAGTACACGGTATGATCTCCGTCCGTTTCCTCCTGAGAAGATGGCTGGCTGCACTCGCAGATCGCTCCGGATTCCTGGCTATCGGGGAAGGCAGCTAGGACACAAAAGCAAGATATGAGGTTCTTGAGTTTCCAAACAAATACAATCCCATTCATGACAACCTTAGTTGTGACTGCCCATGCAAGATGACCCTTGTTACTCCAGCCCAGTCTTTTCTCCAAGTAGTCAAAGCTGCTTGGCCTTTCTGAGGACTAAGGTTGCTGAAGTCACACTTTGGGTTTCAAACAGCAGCTAATCTTGCCCCAGCCCTGGCTAAGGAAGCAAAGCAAGAATTTTTTAAAATGGCAAAATGCACTTATTGCATCCATGCCAAGTAGTTTGGAAAGTTAAGGCCATATGAAAATAAGGATTAAAAGGCAATGTCTTTGTGACTTTACCTAGAGCAAGCCATGTTGCCTGTCCACCATCATGCACATTTAAGGATGCCAAAGGTGCAAAAGCTTTGACCAAGTCCACCAAGCACCCATCAAACTGGAGCTCCTTAATTCATCAAGATTGTACGTGCTGTTATCCACTTTAAAGCTCCCTCATATCCACACATAAGAGGAGTCTTTTTTCAATACCTCGCTCTTTCAGCGAAAAATAACCCCACCACCATGTTCTGCTCTCGGTTACAACTGGTGGTGAACTGGCACCATTGCACGTAGCAAGACTTACCATGTGGTATTTGTTACATCAAAAGGATGTCTATGACCTTTCTACAAAAATTATGAAGTGGAATATTACAGCAGCATCTAACGTGTAGATTTTAAGTCACCTTTATCATCCTAACTGGAAACGAATCCAAAAATCATTCAGCTACAAAATCAAATCTCTGTTGTTCCTGCAACCGTGGAAAACTTTTCAGCTCTGAGTTGTTAGCTGCCTTGGATTTCCATCAAGGCAGAGGTTCAAAAACATATCCTTTCCCACCATGGTTTCTTTCTGCTGGCATTTTGTATACCAATTTTCCCTAAACTATCTATCAAACTAGACAAGCAGTTGAGGAAATGAGGGAGTTTTTAAGTGCAAATCAGCAAATAAAATCCTAATGAATTAAGAAGCTTCAATTTGATAGATGGTAGGGGACTCCATCAAAGTCTTTCAGTACCCTGACTTCCTTGTTTTGATCTGAATCCAGTAGATCTAGCAATGTCAACTTGGTTGGTTTGACTTCGTTTTCTTCTAAAAAAAAAACCACAGCAAGATTGCACTGGACCTGTCCGCAATAATATTTATCAGGGTTTTTTTACTTTCTTTCCTCAATATTTATTATCCTTTCCCCAGACTTGAAACAGGAGCAACATGCTTGAAATGGTATCAAAGATGTCTAGATTTACATTACCTTATCATATTACCATACTTCTGTATCTCCTATTGAAATGCTAAACATAACACATACAAAAATATGCCCTGATTTCCTCTATCACTAGTCCAGTTCACCCTCGCTCTCTTGTATTGAAAGGAAAAGCACTGACCCTTTTATATCGATACCAAAAAGTCCTGTTCCTACAATCAGATATTGCTGTCAGGAACAGTTTCCTGAGTCCCGCTGACTTCAGGGGCTAAGTACGGACAGTCAAAAAGCCCGAGGCTGAATCGATTCAATCTTCACAGGTTTCTCTAAGCTGCATAGATTGAACCAATAATGACGTGAACAGACATTCACATTTGAATCCTGAAAGGCAGCCAGATGCCTGAAGCGGCCCAGGCCAGAAGCCAAGGGCGCTAAAGCACGCCTCCCTGCCTGGTGGCCACTGCTGAGGGCACCCGAATGCAGCCGAGTGCCTGATTGTGCCCCACAGACGGGAACCGTCCCTCCAGCCCAGTCAGCAGCAGGCATCCCCACGCCACGCCAAGCAGTGGTTTGTTTCCCACCCCGGGCAGGGTCCCCCTAGCCCTGCCAGAGGGGGAATTCCTCCCTCCGCATGGTCTGGCACCGGTTTAGCCCCACCCTCACAGGTGCGAGCAGCATGGTCCCTGCAACCAGGGCCCCTGGCAGTGGACATCAGCTGATATGGGGGGACCCCCCGCACCTCAGTAGGGGATCCCTGCCCTGGGCAAGGTCCCGGGGCCCTGCTGCCAGTGCAGAGGGGGAGTTCCCCCTTCCCCCCCCCAGTGCAGTCCAGCCCTGGCTCGCTTCCCCACCCCTGCATGCTTGTGGGGGTGGGACTAAGGGGTGGGAGTGGGGAATTCCCCCTCTGTACCAGTGGCAGGGCTCGAAAACCCTGCCCCGGGCAGGGATCCCCCCATGTGGGCTGATGCAGGGCACCAGCTTGGCCCCAGGCTGGAAGGACTGTGCCCCCCTGCACCTGCAGGAATGGGGCTAAAAGCTGGGACCGAACCATGCAGGCCCCCCGGGCACAGCGGTAGGGCTCAAGGAAACCTGCCCAGGACAGGGGAACCCCCACTGAAGCATGGGGATCAAGGCTGGCCCTGGGCTGGAGGGACTGCTCCCACCTGCATGTCAGTGACTCACACGGGGGGAACCCTCGCACACCAGGGACCAGGACCGGGGCTGTGGACAGGGGCTCTTCCCTCGTCTCCCCCCTAAATCAGTTAAGTCCCATCCCCTGCATTCATCCAGGTCTATCTTAAACCAGTTTCGGACATTTTGAAACTGGTTGATGTGCACTGCTTATTCTATTACAGGTTTAAACCGGTTTCTGATCACTTAAACCGGTTTATGTGTAATGTCTGTCACTAGCTCAGGTGTGTTAGAGTCCCCCTCTACACGTTACACTTAAGGCATGATTACCCAGGGAAATACACCTTAAGTTGTGACCCAGCTACATGTCCAAGCAATTAATGGTGTGATAAAACAAGCAAGAAACTGCAAAGTTACTCCACAAAAAATGTGTAATAACTTTGCCACTTGTTCTATCTATGCCATTAATTGAACGTGTGGCCAGGTGCTCCCCACTGTGGCTAGGAGCCCCATCAACTGAGGGACTCCCAGCCACAGGGCTGCACCCCCTGCTGCTGGCCCGTGGCTGACAAGGTTTGCAATGGTGGCAGCGGGGCAGCAGGGAGAACATTGCCCCCACGCTGTCCACGCTGCAAGTGCCGCAGCCAGTGTCACGGCAGAGCTCACAACGGAGGCAGCAGGGAGAAAGTTGCCCCTGCAGCGAAACTCATGGGGTCTCGCTCCTAATTTACAACGGGACAGGACTAGACAAGGAATCCCAATTCTAAGGTCAGTCCCTGGGTCCAATAGTATCCTTGCACTCTAGGAAGATTTAATTCTAGACCTGATCTCACCTGTCTTTACAACAAACCTGAACTGGAATATCTAATTCAGTCATCCCCGATCCCACAGAAAACTTAGGTCCAAAATCCACTCTTTCAGGACATCATCATTTCTGCTTATTGATACAAATGAAATTACGATGGTGTTTCCAGTAAAGAAACTATGATAAGCACAATCCCCATTGATTCAATGAGGCTAATGCACTCTTTAGTTTGCTCTGCATAATTCAGGAGAGACAGAACTCTCCCAAGATGTGTGAAAGGCAGATTATTTGTAAACTGTCCATCACAAGGACAAGGCATTTGATCACATTCGTGTATTTGCCTCATAAGAGAGAAATAATCAGTATGTATATAAGTATTTTCACCAGCAATTTTGCATAAGCAAGGGCATTCATTTTGCTGGTACTAGTGGTTCATTCTCTGAGCGTTTCTTCCCTCTTGTGGTCACAAATGGCTATATTTCAATTTGTCAAACTAGTTACACATACACAATCACTGTGAACATATATCTGCCATCTTCCAAACATGGGATATAAGTTATGACAGTGACTGAAAAATGAAAGGTAAAACATTATCCTTATAGGAAATATATAATAGTGTGGGGATTGAGTCCTTTTGTCTAAAATACTGCTTCCATAACCTGGGCAGGTGATGATTTTTTTTTACAGCCAGCTAAAATGCAAGATTTCTGTTTTGAAATACATTTATACATTTTTTAAAAGTTAGTTTGTGTTCTATTCTGGAGAAAAGCACATTGCTTTACTTTTCCGGTGACCCAGAAATTCTGAACAAAAGTTTTGGGAACATCAATATAGAACATTTTGAAATTAAATTTTCCCTGCCAGGATCTTCACCCGTTGTGTTGAGACTAACAATAGTTTCAATTTAATGGAGCAGTTGCTAAGGTTCCCAAGAGACCTGCAGACACCTCTGGACTTCCAGACTTCCCACCAGTTGGCTCCCTGGGCTGCCTGCTTCCTGAAATGGGGATGTCCTGGAGCCACCCACTCCTAAAATTCACACATGACTTCCAAGTCCTGAGGCTAGGCTCTGTTAGGCAACCTCATCCTGAAAGGCCTCATCAGCATCGGGTTTGACTGGATTTCCAAGTTCCTCACTGCAGAGCTAGGAATCAAGCCCTGGTTAGAGTTGGGGCTCCAGGCTGTTCAGATGCCTGGAAACTCTGGCACAACAGGCATTTATAGACGTGCTCTGGGGGTTGAGGGGCACTTTAATTACAGCAGCTCCAAGTCTCATGTATCAGCCACATGTATCAGCGTCCCAGCTCGTCAAATGTGCTTTAGTTAAAGTGCTTCTGCCACCATTTTTCAGCATGGGGATGCTGATACACAAGACCCTGGAGTCTGCTGAAGCGGAGTAACTACCATGCTCCAGCAGACTCAATTAATCAAGAGGCACTTAGGGTTACCATATGTCCCAGACATGTCCTGTTTTTTGGACCCCTGCACTGTGTCCAGGTCAGTTTTTAAAATAAGAGCAAATGTCCAGGTTTTCTGCTCTCTTGGGCTGGCTGCTTGGGGCTGGGAGCAGCAGGCAATGTGACTGGCTGTTGGGGGTCCGGCGCTCCCCGCACGGGCTCCAGCAAGCCAGGTAAACAGAGAGAGAGAGAGAGAGAGAGAGAGAAAGCGTGTGCGTGAGCAATGCAGGAGCTGCTTGGGCAGCAGGGCTGGGGGGGCAGGGGTCTGCAGGTCAGGAGTGAGGGGCACTGGCAGGGCTGGCAGGGGGGCAGGGGCTCCAGGTCTGGAGTAAGGGGCACCGGCAGGGCTGGGAGCGGGGCAGGGGTCTGCGGGTCAGGAATGAGGGGGACCTGCAGGGGGCCAGGGGGTTAGATTAGGAGTGAGGGATATGGGGGATGGGACGGGTGACTGTGGGTTGGGTGTGCAGGATACTGGCAGCACCAGGGGGCTGTGGGTCAGGAGTGAGGGACACCAGCAAGGGGTGGGGGGCAGGGTACTGCTGTTTGGGAGTGAGGGGCACTGGCAGACTGGGGTCAGTGGGTCCGGAGCGAGGGGGAGCAGCAGGGCTGGTGGGGGGTGGCTTGTCAGTGAGGGGCAACAGAATGGGCAGGGGCATGTCACTGCCTGCCACCATCATATTCCCTCTGCCCTCCTCCCCGGTGACAGGTGTCCTCTTTTTTGGGCCTGGAAATATGGTAACACTAGATGCGCTATTATATATTTCTGGTATAAATAATATTTTACCTTTCATTTTCAGTTATTGTCATAACTTATATCCCACGTTTGAGAGAAGGCAGATATACATCCATAGTGACTGTATATCTGTAATACAGCGTGACGGAGCAGCCTCGCTGCACGTATATAGGTGCCCAACATGGCTGGCTTCCCCAGAGCTTCATACTCTTGAAACACTGAGGTCCCGTGTAGCGTGCCATGGGGACCCTCCCACCTTTGCTTCAGCAGGGGGTCTCTGAAATCAAGATAATTTGGGTCAAACAATTTAGGCTGAATACATCAGTATATTCTAACTAAACTCCTCTTTGGCTAAAAATTTCTCACCGATTCTGTTGTCACATTTCCTGTAAATTATTTTCCACTACAAGATGAAGGCAACATGAAACTGGTATAGCATGCATGCAAATAAGGGCCACCTGGAAAGTTTTAATACACAATAAAGATCCAATTCTACTGTCCCTCCAGATACAATACTCCTGTTGACTTTAATGGGCTTTTGCATGGTTAGTAATGGAGCAACAGCTGTATAAACATTAACATAAACTATATTATAGAGACAGTACACAATATATACCAACCAAAGTGAAATCACCATAGGTACACACTTTTGTTGGAGGTTTACACCTTAATGAGATAAAGACATCATCCATTTTACCAAGATCTGTCATGGCTCCTGCATGAGATCACTCATCTCACACCTTCTTACCAGCTGCGTCCTTGGATGCTTCAGGCAGCACGCCGAGCGGAAAGGGCGGTGATGGAATATAGTGAATCCCCGGCAGGAAGCCCGGCGGTATAAACTGAGGAAGCGGAGCGTAGTAACCTTGTCGGAAATCTCCCCCTGCATCTGGGATCTGCACAAACATACCAAACGAAGCTCCTTCAGTGCAGATGGAGTCTCACCCGCCAAATCAAAGGCCAGACTCTGTCCCGGCTTGCACTGCTCCTGAGGGCATCAAGGCCACGTCACAGCCATTGGTTTGTGACGCTGTATTTAGAAATGTTTGGTTCACGACCCCTGGCCTTGTCATTTCTGAGTCACGAGCCGTGCAACTAGGTGCTGGACCTGAGACACAAGAAGTGCGTCTTGCACGATGCTGGCATGGATCCTAATATTATCAAAGCCTACGTCTGTCTGTCTGTGCCTAACTCTTTATTTGCGCTCTGATTGGCTGATAAACAGCCAATCAGGGCACGAAGAAGCATTCTGACAGGTGGCAGCCCATCACCATGATGATGAGGACACAGGGGACGGAACTGGGGGTGGGGGAGAGGGCCGAGGCCAGCGCCTTGTTCCCTGGAGGCAGCGACAACAAAGTGGGTGGAAGTGGGGGGTGAGGCCTGAGAGTGGGCCTGAGCAGGGGAACAGCAGTGGCAGGAGGAGGGGAGGAGTGGGGCCAAGGACCCTGACCCAAAGAAGGTGTGAAAAGAGGGGGGAGGGGGGAGCCAGTCTGCCGCAGTGGGGGACAGTGGGCCCAGCCCGGTCCAGCAAAGCAGCCCACTCCTCCCGTCCCCCCACCTCTGCAGCGGGGAGGGGGGGAGCAGGCCCGCACCCCAAGCAGCAGGAGGGAAGAGGGAGCGGGACCAGGAGGGGGGCGGCCCAGGCCTCCATCCCCGCCAGCTTCCTGCCCCCCGCTCCGCCATTCTTGACAGGCAATTGGCTAGTAATATTATACTATGCTTTGCACTTGATGTGACCTGCTGTTAGTTCCTGTGCTTGTCTTGAATTATCTGAAAGCCCTAATTTCTATCATTAGAGTTTCTGAAATTTGTCAAGCAAATTCTATCATGTTGCTCTCGATCACATCTTAGGCAAAGGAGAGGCCAGAACTGACTTCACGGGTGGATGTGTGACATGGTAATTGCTTTCTTTTGCTAGATTTTTCACTATTAAATCCCTATTCCAGGGAAATCTAGAAATCGTAACTCAGGCACCACTAAAGTCAAGAAGAGGCTAGGCTGCTGGCCTCACGATTTACACCATCCATATCTGCCAACAAAGTATCTGAGTGCCTGAGTTGAAAACTTCAAGATCTGCCCCACTGTTAATGATTTGGCCCTTGTACAGTTAACAAATGCCACGGGTGCTTACTACCAAGGAGTCACACTGACATGCTGAACTATAATATGTAAAATTCTCAATTATTTGGGTATTAGTTTGCTAGTCTCCAGACAGTGCTGCCAGATTCTCACTTCCATGAGCACGTGTTTTTATCAAAATCCTTGAAGTTGACACATTAAGAATGGCCCCTCCCCAGCCACACTAACAACTGGAAGTGTCCCTCTGTCCGCACTCTCCTTCATCGACCAGGCCCCCCAAGTTGGACTTTATTAACCATCATGCCCGGCCTTCCCCTTACCTTCGAAAATTTAGCCTACAAAGGAGAGGGAAAATAGAAGAGCGTAAGGCACCACAGCGACATTTCCAAATCAAAAAGTTCTAAAATGTTCCATTTTGGAACTCTGGCCAAGTTTCCATGGAAATTTTAGATGGATTTTGTGATGTGCTGTACATTTGTCATTAAATATGGTACCATTTCTTTAAACGTGGTTAGGCTTTGTGCTTCCTTAGACACCACAGGCACAGACAGAAGTGACAATTTTTGCCTGATCTGGCCCCAGAAAGCGCTCTACAGACGTGACCAAACAGAAGTGTACAGCTGCAGACCACTTTAAAAGGGCCCGATCTCATGAAAATCTGAATCCTCATGCAATGAGAGTGCAGATGAACACACTCCAAAACAGCGCGTGTTCTGTAACTTGTGTCTGCGGAGCTCCCATCCTGTTGCTGCTTTCACAATGGGAGGGGGGGAAAGGGCAGATGGAGTTTGGTCTGAGGTGTTTTCAGCCAATGCTGGAGGGTGAGGGAGGTGGCTTGGAGCCCACCCCGAGGTGGGAAGGGCTCCAATCCACCCACCCCACCCTCCAGCTCCGGCTGAGGACCCCCAAAACAAGATCCATTTGCTCCCTTCCTCCCCTCCCATTTGGAAAACAGCATCCAGGCTGGGAGGGGTGAGTGGCGTTGCTACGGAGACTGGGCTGCGGGCTCACTGGAACCCCCAACTCCCAGACCCACCAGTGAACTTCTGTTGGGTCGGCGGGAACACTGCAACTCATAGCGCTTCCTGCAAAGTGCCACGAGCTGCAACGGGGAGCTGCTCTTCTGTCTGCGCCCCATGTTTTACTTTCAGTTTTGGTTTCCATTCAAAACTATAAAGTTACCATTTATATAAGCTGTGTGATGTTCTCTCTGCTAGTCTGATCTCCCCACTACTGTGGAACCACAAGATATAACAGTTTTCTTTTCTTTTTTTCTATTTGGTAGAAACTTTCCACAGGAAAGTTCTGGCTGCTATATTTCCAATGCCCGAGAGCAGAAGAGAAAAGTTCAGCAGGCTCACAAAAGAGCGGGCTCATCACACTGACCTACAACTGCTGCCTGGATTTATCTCACACTGCAATGTCTCACTCTAGTCTAACAGGACCCCCTAGTCTGACACACAAACAGGATTTTCAGGCTTGGCAGGGATTGAAGGTAAGCTCTCTTTGAAGGACCTGATGCAGGAATGACAGTAAAATGGAAAAAATTAGTACAGACAATTTTATATTATATGATGGTACTTATGAAAAGATGATGGGTAAATGCTGCTGAGCCGCTTTGTAAAGTGCTTTGAGAGCTACTGAGCAAACACGCTCTACGTAAGAGCTAACTGTTCCTATTCCATTAATGTATTATTGTTCTGAGGGCCTGTGTTATGAACATTATCTGGACTACTGTATTTAAAGTGGTGAAGGAAAACATTTACTTTTCATCATTTATGTTCTGGGTTTCCCTTTTAGCAATTCTCTGACTTGGGACCAGCACAACAACGGACTCCATTTTACTTGCACGGATGTTAAGTGCTTGCCGACTGCTATTGCTAAATACTGACATTTCCCACTCCTGCCCCTAGCATCCTGCTGCATGTTTAGCTTTGCTACCTTGGAGAGAGATGGCATTTTATTTAAATGCAAGGAAAACAGTTTTCTTTAAATCTCCTTTTAAGATTCACAAACACATTCTGTTAATTTGCAAAATCTTTTTTTTTTTTTAATTAAAAAAATAGCAACCGAATGGCCTCAGTTGTTCGGCAGTGTCTCTTTCAATGGACACTTCTGCCATTTGTGTCCTAACATATCATATATGCGGCAATTCGGAGGAACAGTAAAACAGTGACCTGCAGTTTTAGGGTCAGACCCATCTCTCGTGTGCTGCAGTGACACAGGCCAAGCTATGTGCACTGCTCTTTCTCTGCTGCTACAGCGGGAAATCAAGACCCACAAAAAAACAGCCATGAAGCTGCCCCCAATTGCTCTTCTTAATATCATAGCCCCCTGGGGCTTTGCAGCAGCAGGGAATCATAAAAGCCTTGCACTGCCTTCTCCCAACCCGCCTTCTTCCCATCTGGGTCCACTCCTTACTGCCCCAGTCTGGATCCTCCTGTCTCTTCATAGTTTCATATATGTAGGGTCGGAAGGGACCTAAGTAGATCATCAAGTCTGACCGCTTGCCCTGGACAGGAATGAATACTGGGCTCATATGATCCCAGGTAGGTTTGAGCTTATATGATCCCAGCTAGGTAATTATCAAGCCTCCTCTTAAAGACCCCCAGGGTAGGAGCCAGCACCACTTCCCTTGGAAGTTAGTCTCTGAACTTCTGCAGTCATCAGCTCTGGACGTCAGCTCTGTCTTGGATATTTCACTGGGGAAGCCAAAGAGGCGTCACTACAGGCATTTTGGTTGCCAGCTACACTGACAGAAAGCCACACTTCAGTGGCAATTTTCCCTAAGAAACCTTTTCCTACAATGCCCCTCCATCCAGAAATGTCTTTTCGGACAATAGGAGCCGGGTGCTCAGAGCACATGCAAGATCTGGACCCTCCGGTCACAATACTTCTGATTTTTCTGGATTGGAGCGAGACCTTTAGCACTAGTATGTGTCATGCTTCCTTCCACTTAATATATCAAGCTGCTGTTTGAAGAAACTCGTAGCCAGGGTAACGTTTCATGGTTACTTTAACAGCAAGATTGCATCCAACAGCAAAGGAGCAATATATTCAGCAGCAGTTTAAAAAAAAAAATCACTCCTTACCGACAGAGAAGCTGCGCTTGCTGGTACGTGGCTGCTGGGAGCATGTCTGTAACCTCGGTGGAGGGGGATCCCTGCAGATGCTGGTACGCCCCTGCAGCTGGGCTGATTGATGGCAAAGCCCATGGGGAATGGGTGGTACGGGTACATACCCGAATACCCCGGGTACACTTTCGGAGGCTCTCGCTCGAGGAATTCTGGGCTAACCAGGCACTCTGGAGGCAGAGCTGGGTAGGCTGTGAAACAACCAGGAAGGAAAAGTCAAAATAAACACACCAAAAAAATCACAATAAATCCAAATACTAAAGACTCACGATGCCCGATTCTATTCTTAGCCAGTGTAACGGTGCACCGAGCCTGGCCGGTTGGTTTTACATGCAGCTGCTAATCATTTTGGATGTTTTTTTTGACACTTAGTACTGGGAAATTAGAAAGGCTGAAAATAAGGAGGTGAACCAGGTAACAAAGAAAGAGTAAATGGATTCTCTTCTGCCACGTGCATCCGGAAGCAAACTGCCAGCAAACTCCTGCCTGCAGAACCTCCACCTGGAAGTGCTGCTGTAGCAAGCATGAAGACAGCTCAATTTCCAGTGGCAGCAACTGAAATATCATCCCCTCGAAGACTTGCACACCAACAACACTAATTACTTAAGCCAATGCAGGGGAACGAAGTGCCTGATGCTATCTGTCATTGCTATAGGGTTAATTTTTGGAGAGTCAGTTCCCTTTTATTATCATTTAAAACAGACCCCTCACAAGTGATCTTTCTGACAGAGGTGGAGACTCATTTACAGCGAGGCTGTCTGCAGCTTAGCCCCATCCGTAGAAATTGCTCCTAGAGATTCACTAGTCTGGTGAGGCTCATGCAAATTAAAATAAAAGAAGAAAGAAACATTCACTGGCAGATCAGCTGATACTGTTAACCTCCCTTTCCTCTGGATCTGCCAAAGCATATGGTCTATCTTTGTCTTCTTGATTGCTATTGTCTGAGGGCCCGGCCAACTCCTAGTCTGGGGTTTCAGTAAGGAATGAGTCTAACCCAGGGTTCTCAACCTTCCTCGACTCAAGGCACCCCTCAGAAAATGCCAGCTCTTAGCTTTTAATGCTTTCTCGCCTACAGAAAAACAGCAGAGCAATTCTTCCATTGCAACGAACTCAGAAAGACCACAGCAAGTCAGAATGGTTTTAACACTACTGATTTTTATTTGCAAGCTCTGGGTCTAGTTGATGAATCGTGTTTGTGCACCTAATAGTGCTACCCTTGTGTGGCATCCCGTGGCACCCTTGAAAGGCTCCCAAGGCACCCCAGCGTGCTGTGACACCCTGCTTAGGAATCACATGCCCAAGACCAGATTGCCAGAAACAATCTGAGAGGCAACAGATGAAACCACCACGACATTTCATAGATTCATAGATGTTAGGGTCGGAAGAGACCTCAATAGATCATCGAGTCTGACCCCCTTCTGCAGCTCTTGTCCTATACGTAAATACGAAATAAACTTTACACCAAATTATTCCAGCTGAGCCTAGCCCTTATTGCAGCAACCAAGCCCAGCTGCCTCCCACTGAGCTTCCCCATTCATTTGCAAGCGCTGGGCAGGGGGGCATATGGCTTTGTGCTGGACAGGATGCGTGCATATTTAAAGTCAGTAACAGCTCAGAAGAGCAATCAAAAGGTGCTGTCCTGGATACTGAGGGCTGTGCTCCCCCCACCCCACCCCACCGCCTCCTTTCCCTCCTAAACAGGGAACACAAGCCTGAATTCAGCTTTGAAACAATGAAACGACCACAAGAGCTGCCTGAGATTGTTCCTGCAAAGTTCAGGGATGCAGCTCAGAAACTGCAAAACCAAGGTTTTGCACCAAGCACATCCCAAGTGGGGAACAGCTCAGGGCACTGGGCCATGGGAGGCCAGGTTGACTTCTGTCTCCCTAGACAGGTGGAAAAGGTAGCTGGACAGATGCTGATCAGACAGCCGCCACGGACAGATGTACAGACAGATGCTGAGTGACGCACAGACAGACAAAAGGAAATGGAGATGGATAGGCTGAAGCGAGCCATCTACAGTAGAGGCTAATGGGACAGATACCCCAGTGCTGCGCCGGTCCCTACCGAAGTCCCCAAAGGGCGGGGAGCCAGGAGCGTCTAGTGCCCTGCGGGTCACCGTTCTGCTGCTGCTGCTGCCTGGTCCTGGGACAGCCTTGGCTCCCTCGTGCCCGACCGCGTGGCTGCTCTGATCGGAGGCGCTGGAGCTGACAGCAGGCGTCCCCCGTCCTTCGCCATGGCCTGGGGTGCAGGGTGCAGGTAGCGACACCACCCCGGGCAGGGGATCTGGGCCCTGCCTCCGCAACGCCTTCTGGGCTGCCATGATCTTCTGACGCTCCGTGATGAGCGCGCATTTCTCGCAAGGGCACAGCTTCCAGCGGCAGTGGCCCGCGTGGCCTTTCACGGGCACCACGAAGCCGTGGTTTCGGCAGCGGGAGCACTTCGGGGTTCGCAGAGCTGCCTTCTCAGCTGCCAGCGCATCCTCGGCCTCCATGGCACTTCCAGCCAGGCAGGCACCTGACAGCCAGGCGCAGCCAGAGCTGGGAGCTGATGTACAAGGCAGGTTGGGACAGATCTCTCTTGTACCCACAGCTATACAATGTAGCAAGTGAGGCTGCTAGGCCTTGTGCATGGGGAGAGGAGGAGCTCGTTTGAGTCCAGCAACTCTGTGCTTGGGGGGCTAGGGGGGATTGTCAGCAGGAGCGGGAGGAGCAATGCTGCAAGGGCTTGCAAGAGACAGCCTTGCTCTGGAGCAAGGAAATCCTGCACATTTGTATGGTGGCTGGGCCAGCGCTACTACAAAGGCCCTGATCCACTCTCAGACAGAGCCCTCCACTTTCCAAGAGCTAGGTGGGGAGCGGTGGGCAATGCTCTTGCTGGGGGCTGCACAAGGCACTTGTCGAATATTGTCCCTTTCCCATGCGGTTGCATGATCGTAAAAGAAAAGGCTGCATGGCTTTGACCAGAAAGTAGGCACAGCCAAGTCTGCAAAAACATGGCCTCTAACCCTTTGTGTGCCCGTGCCCCGCGTTTGCATGCGTAGATCGAGTAGAAGCACACCTGATTTACACCTTTTTTTTCATGCAAGCAGAGCCTTTTTATGCTGCATCTAAGCTGCACTCTCCTGTTTTGGTCATCTACTGCCCATGGCTTCTATCATCCTTTGTAAGAAATTGTACTACCTTGAATGATTTCAGTTCCACTTTGTTTCAAATTTCAACTTTTATTGGGTAAGAAGGAGATTGTCACCGTGTCAGCCCAAAATGACTGCTTCTTTATTCAGTTCTTCCAAATGTTCAACTGAACCCCATGTTTACAGTCAGGCCAGAAGGCACACCTCATTCCTCCAAGTAGCTCTCTTTCCCCAAATCCTTTATACAAGGTGCAAGCCAATGCACCTGTTTCCATATTTCTTATAAAATGCCCTGTGTTATTTGTTACTGTTAGCAGTTACAAACCCACATCTTATACAGTAGCTCATCAACAGGCAAATCTGAGCACCAAGCAGTGTAAGGAATGATACTGCAGATTTTCTTCCCCTCCCAAAGATAAGGGGTAATTTGGGTTTGTCGGTACCACCTTCCCAGGGCTCTTGAGAAAGCTGATAAGAAGCTCCTTCCATCCACTCAACCCTGCTCTGGATGCATTCAACTCAAAAACAAGGTGGTGGAGCTTCAAAATCTGGGAAACAAAACCCTTGGCATGACATTACTACCTGATTTCTGGGTTTGCTGCTGAAGGAGTGCTCTCAAGAGCCCTAGGGAGGCTCTAGATCAGGGTCCAGCAATTATTTTGGGCAGAGGGCTGCTTATTGAGTTTTGGCAAGCCATCGAGGGCCACATGACAGGCAGCTCAGGGCAGATAAATATTAATTTTCTAAAATTTTTAGGGGCCCCGCAGGCCGGATAGAATGACCCGGCGGGCCGCATCCGGCTCCTGGGCTGCATTTTGCCCACCCCTGCTCTAGAGACAGGTCCCATGATTTTGGCCTTCAGACTGATCTGAAGCCCGTACTTTCCCCCCGTGAAAAGAAACCTGTTCAGAATGAAACAATCTTTAACTGCAAAACAGTTGGCTAATTTTTCATCCATTTCCAGGGAAACAAGGGACAAGCTGAAGTACTTATCTCAGCTGTTTCAAGAGTACATTAATGATCAACTGGCCTTGCTTTAAAGTCATGTTGAAAAATCCCCTCCAGTGGAGGAGGCCCTCTGCATAGTGTAGGCAGGCCATACGGGGTCAGATCTTAATCAGAACTGTTGACTTGAAACTCAGCTACTTAGGACAAGATTTTGGAAAATTCCTGTGTAACTTTGGCGTGTGGGTACCATTGGCTTTCGGGGGCGCTCGGCTTCCAAAGGTCATCGCTTTGACCAAAGTCCCATGTTCAAATCCTCAAAGTATCCTAACTCTCATTGATTCCAGCACTATTCAATTTTTATTTTAGGTGCTCAAAAGCCTTTGAAAATCTCACCTCACCAAAGTCACTTAGTCACTTTTGAAAGTTTTTATCCGTAGGCCTCAAGGCAGGAAAGTACCTGACACAAGTGGTTGACTTGAGTTCAGTTAGACTTAAAGCTCACAATGTCCTGAATTGCTGCTATTTTGACTCAGGGCCTTAGCAAGATGGAGAATACTTCTTCAGCCACTCTAAAAACTAACTATACTCTCTATTAAATGTAAGTTGTTGGCAGATTCCAAATGACATCTCCCAATGTCGTTGCTAGATGTAGCATGCACTTGCATATTTATCTATAAAATTAAATCAGATAAACAACATCCTTCTAGCTAAAGGTTGTTATATCTTCCCTGAGATGCCTAATCCATTCATATTCCATCAGACACAGCGTAGGTGAGTTATATGCATTTGTTATAGTAAATTTTGTCCCAGAGCCACATCATATTAATATTGAGGACCTTTAAGCAAGCATATATTGTTTTTTATTCTTGTCTCTCAGGACCAAAACAGCAACTGTGGACACTGATAGTTTCTGCATAAATGATCCCTACTTTTGAAAGGTACCTGCATTTGGTTGTGAACATTTGTCATCGTAGTATGCAGGAATTATTATACCTTCCATATCATTTGTCTCTAACTTGTCTAGACTGGCTTTCTTTAAAGACATGAGTTTTTATTTCACTAGTGAGATGAATACTTCTGCAGGCAGTTTGAGAAATGCTGCTATTCCCAGTCTGCTCTTCTTTTATATATAAATTTTAGTTAGCTGCCCTATCGCACAGCATTAAGATTGCTCAGCAGAGCAGATGTGCACAATTTATCAAAAGAAATCTTGATTCCCTGTGAATAAAGGAAGTTGTTCTGGCTTAAAGTCTATGACACCATTCCTTTGTTCACTTTTAAAGCACAATTAAATGCAATAAGGAATCTATTTTCTCCAGAATTGGTTTTTAAATTTACTCCAATATCTTGGGTGAAATATAGAAGAAGTATCGCATTATCTATATGCAGGTAGCATTTTGTAATAAAATAGTTTGCAAAATAGTTTGTCAGGTCAGGTTCACCTGTCTCTGTAATTTACAGTAGCCTGCTAACTTCGGCTCTAGAACGTAGCCAAGGGAAGTCCAGCTTCTTCCTGTACGGGTGACCATACGTCCCAGTTTGGCCGGGACAGTCCCAGATTTCATAGGCCAGTCCAAGCCAGTTGGTGAAAATTCAAACAAAAGTCCTGGAATCGGCCACCTAGGCAGAGGCAGGCGACACAGGGTGCAGGGCAGTGGAGCGGCATGGTGTGCCAGGTGGGCAGGCAGACACTGGGAGCAAGGCAGGCAGACTGCAGTGATGCCCAGCCCAGCCCCTGCCTCCAGCCACTGCCAAAGTGGAGCCAGGCCGGGTATATGTGGGCAGGGTGGCAACTGCTCTGGTCAACATGCCTTGCACCTGCATAGCAGCAGCGGTGCCCGCTCACCCACCTGCCAGAAGCACCATGCCGTTCCTGCCAGACTGCACCCCACGCTCCTGCCCGCCTGCCTCTGTCTCTGCCTGCAGCAGTGCCACTGACTTGGAGGGGGAGAGGGGGTGTTCTTCCTTCACTTGAAACCCAGCGTCCCGGGTTTGCTTAAAAATAATATGGTCACCAAATGTATGGTCTGTACAACTAATGGTCATTGCGCTCTCTCCGAGGCTTCAACACACTCTATTCTGTCTGGTCAGTTTATTTCGAACATCAGGTCCTGGCATCTGCAGGTCGAACTAGCTGTTCTAATTAGGCTGTCGGTCTTTACTGTATGTCATTTATTAGCGTGTTCGGGATAGAAAGAGATCACCAGCAAAGTCCCAGCTTCCGAGTGCTCCATTTAGCCATGCAGTTGAGGTGGACACCCACCAGAGACCTGTCACAGAGCCACCCATTCAGACTGAACAACCAGCCCTTTTCCCTAGTCTGGCAGGGAGGTGACTCTACCCTCCCAGGCCTTGGTGGGTATTTTTACACAGCTGCATTCAGTGAAACACTGACTTTTATTGTGACAATTTCATAATATCAACCAAAATTCAAAAATTGTTCAAAAGGCCTTTCTAACCCCAACTCATCCCTGTCTCATTGCTTCCTTATACTCCTGCTCATCTGTGTTCATCTGTTGCTGCTTGGGCCGCGTCTACATGAGATGCTGACTGCGTGGTTGTTACTCCCCGCAGATGGCAGCGCTGGGGTGGGGAGAGGGGTCTTGGCTGGCCCGGGACCCAGGATTTTGTTTGCCTAGGGGCCACTAAAGGGTTAATCTGGCCCTGGTCCCCAAACAGCTTTTTGGTGATGCTGACTGCACAGTATCTCATTACTACTGCGCAGTAGCGTTGCATCACGCTTCATGCCACACAGCATCACTTCACAGTAGTAACGAGCTACTGTACTGCACAGTAGTGATGAGCTACTGCACAGTCAGTGTCTCGTGTAGACGCAGCCACGGCCTACCAGAGCCTACAAGGTCCATTCCCATAGTGCGGGAACCATGGCTAGCACCCCGAGTCCTGCTGCCTCTGTCTGCCCAGCTCAAAACAGCAGGTATCCATTTAGACCTGGGGCAGCTGCGAGCAAGGCTTGTGCTCCTGCCTTTAACACTGCAGCAAGACACATTAACTATTCTTGCACTCTCCCCAAGACTAAGATGGTAATTCATTACAATTATCATGTTGGGTCAAGTCTTTTTTTGTTCTTTCCATACAACTCCATAGGCATCAATCCTTACACTGCTTGGTGCTTAGATTTGCCTGTTGATGAGCTACTGTATGAGATGTGGGTTTGTAACTGCTAACAGTTGTATGGAAACAGCTCCATAAACTCCCTCACTCCATAAAGTCCTGGCCTGTACCTAGACAGACCTTTCAGGGATGAATCCAAATTCATAAACAATGGATACAAATAATAAAGTGCTTTGCAATATCTTCAGAGTACAGAATCTCCCAGTTTTGCTGGTCGCTGATATAAAACCTCTTAACATAACTCTTTAATATGCAAATCATAGAAATGAAGGGCCGAAGAGGCCTCGAAAGATCATCGAGCCCAACCCCCCTGCTTTGGGG